CAGCCAGAACAAGGTCTGTCTATATAACAATCAACGTGGGCGAGTTGTGACTTGACCGCCATCCGCCTCGCAGATTCTCCACGCTAAAAAGGCTGACCAGCGTGCCGAGCTATTCGCGCGTGCTATGGCAGCAGGGAAGGAGATGGAACGTACGAACAGGAAGCTTCTCCTGAGGATGCGACTGTGCGTAGGATCCGCACTTCATACACTTCCCTATGATACTGATTCGAGATGTAGGCAACAAGCAGACCTAGTCGTAAAAGCATCGAAGGCACAACAGCAGGCGGCTGCAATGCAAGATTAACATTGTAACAGTCCCAATCATAGTGCTTTCTGTATCATCTAGTGTTTTGTCTCGCATAATGCAATAATCAACAGCATGGTATTAGGATAGTGGACATGATATACTCGATAGCGACCCAAACTGAAACCCCCCAAACATCTAAAGTCCTTATTCATGCCACATCCGCAGTCCTGCATGCACTTCTAGTGACAAGCCCTATAGCTTGATGCTCCTGTCATGCCGAACGTCGACAGCATCGGGACGTGTGGACTTGTTCGACATGCGCTCCCAGATGGGCTCTACGTCGGGCCCGTCGAGATCTCCAGCACCATCCCAGCCCCAACACCATACTGTATTTAAGTCTAGTTAGTTGCAGGTGGATAGCAAGATCATAGAGTAGCATACCATGGTCAGGCCCCGCGTCAAATTCCAGGGGTGTGCTCTCCTCGTCGGTAAAGAGACGGTCGTGTGGGCCGAACCACGCACGGTCCTGGGGATCGCTGCGCGGGTCATCGGGCAGCCCACCGAGACGCGAGTATCCACGGATCGCGGTCAGGTTCCGCCGCGAGGGGTGTATGATGTCGAAGACTTTCTGCAGCGGGTGTTAGAGATTGTACAGCAAACACGGGAAGTACGCACTCGGTCATATGCGAGCTTCACGCGGGGGACCATCATGATGCGTCCGAATCCCGCCTCCCAGTAGTCGTTGCAAATGAGACTGCACTCCGACGCCGAGCATTCGCCCTCGGTGATGCGTGCCATGCGGAAGCGGACATGCGGTGGTGCATACAGCGGCGCAGGATCGAGCACGGCGATGCCGTTCCAGCACGACTGCACCTGCACGGGCAGATGGTGCACGAAACGGGCGCTCGACGACGGATGGTGGAAGATGTTCTCGAATGGGGCGTTCTCGAGCGCGGTGCCGTTGATATCCCGCGCGACCCAGTTGTCGTAGAAGACCGGTGCCCCGATCTCGTCGTGGTACATGTAGTCCGACGCACAGGTGATGCCGGCGTTGTTGGTGCGGGACTGCCAGATGAGCTCGAGGAGGTCGTCAGGGCAGGGCAGGATGTCGTTCATGAAGATGACGGTGTCGAAGTACTCGTTCTGCGCATCGCGCAGCTCGTGCAGCGGGACAAACGCGGTGTTGCGCACCTCGGCGAGGTATTCGATGCGGTGATTGAACGCACCACGCGTGCGCATCGAGGTGCGGATGGTGATGCGCATCCCGACGGAGCGCGTGAGGGCGTCAAAGATGCGGAGGAGTGCCTTGGTCTGGTCAGTAGAGCCGTTCTCGTAAATGGACACGAATACGTTGTGGTATCCGAGGACGGCGGATACACGGAATAGCGTCGCAAAGAGGTCTGGGATGATGTCGAACGAGTTGTACAGGTTGATTCCGAAGAAATACTTGTGCGAGCTGCCCATGACATCGCGCCTCAAAGGCTGCTGCTGCTGCTTCAGTCCGAGACTAGACAGCCAGGACGAGCTCGAAGGTGGGTCGTGTCCCACCAGCGGCGCGTACCGTTCGCGGGCCTGTTTGACATACAAAGGCTGCGAATTGCGGGTGCATTCTTTCGTGTGATGCGGCGATAATTTGGTCAACAATTCCAGGATCCGTAAACGCTGATCCTCTGTAGGAAGTGCGATAGGCCTTGTCGTAGACGGGCGCGCTGATTTGAATGCTGGCACGCTTCCTCCTCGCCATGTCTGGACACGAGACTACATGCGCCTTTAGTTTGGGTCGAATATGAGTTTCTTTACGACGCACGTTGATGTTCCATGGCATAATCCTGGCCAGTATCAGGCCTATACAGACACCAATTACGAGCGCCAAAGGCGTCGGTATTCGCCTTAGCTGGCCTATGAGCCCTTGACTTGCGGACCGTTCCTTCATGTCTTGTCTTCCTGGGGGCTACGATTTAGAGTGCGTACATATGTTGTTCGTCCTAGAGTCTTTGCAGAGCTGACGAGAAAAGTGCCTCGAAGAGTTTCAGTGGACGGGGCTGAGACGGAAATTTCGAGTATTAGCACAGCCACATAGTACTGCTGTCTTTCCGACTCTTTCGTTGCTTTGCTTTCGAATTCGAGTCCCTGCTCCTCTGGTGGTTTTTCGACGCGTACCTCGATTTCACTGGTAGGCAGGAAAGTGGACTGAATTTTAGCACTGACGGATGTACTTAGGCACTGCGCTGTTCGTGTCGGCCGGCACATTCAGCCTTTAGACGTTCGTGAATTGTTCGTGAATCGCAATGTCTACTCGCACGCGTGGACTGCGTACTACTCCCCGAGGCTGCTACTATCCAATGTGAGTGAGATCATCTCAGTGATCCTACGTGACTCCAGACACAGGCATGGATGCAAGTGCGTTTACATACCACTGTAAGGCACGTCCGCATGCACGCGTACCGCGTCATCTACCTTGCACGGACGGAATACTCGGCGCTCAGCCCCGAGGACATATACAGGTGACCCGAATATCATATTGGAATTGAGGGTGCATCTTCCTCTCTCGCAGCATATGCGTGTCAACAATTTATTCAGTGACCTCTTATTGCATACCATCTGGAACTACATAAGTATGCGTTATAGGCTATAGGGTACAGAGTCAATCGCATAGCTACCGGCTGCCACTTCGTCGTTATTGAGCTCAGTAGCCGTCTTTTCCAGGGACAACGCCATAGGCAGGTCCGCCCTTTCCGAACATCTTGCGGACATCGTCAACAAGGGCCTCCGGCTGCTCGTGTGCGGCGAAGTGGCCACCTGCAGTATGCTCCCGCGAGTACACCACATTTCCGGCTCTGTTCATCCACCTAGCAGACGCGCACGTACGTATGTTCAGCCTCGAATGACTTGTGGACATGAGCGTAACGAGTGCTTACTTTCTTGGGAGATTGACATGTTCAGCAGGGAAATAACTGACACCAAGTGGAATTGTAGGGGCTGGTCCCTGCTCGGCGGCGTATGCAGGGGTGCCACGGGTGCCTAGGATCTCGTAATAAATGCGGGCAGACGAGGCAGGACCAGCACGCGAGAACCAGTATATCGAGATCCATGTCAGCACTGTAACACTAGGTAAGACTTGCGTCACCACCCTGCGTCGATGAGAACTGAGACATGCCTTCATCATCCTCCCAATTATAGTTGTCTGACCAGTCGACCAGCTTCTCGTAAATCCAGGCAAGGAGCCCGACGGGGGAGTCTGCGAGGCTGTATCCGATTGTTTGCGGAACAGTTATCTGCTCTGCAGAGTAGCCCCGACCATACGTACGAAACGCCTTCGTGACTTCCCAGCCACGTTTCTCCTCGGGGGTATAGGGCGTGATGATCCATTGCAGATATGAAATCGGGTTAGCGAGCAGTGTGGGGGGCTCAGACCTGGAGAAAACATGGGTGAGTGAGCAAGACAAACGTTCGGTTTCTAAGTATATGCAACTGACGAAGGCATGTTTGTATGCCACGCCTTTGAGTGGGCGCCGCCGTAAGCGCTAGCAATCTTGCGCGTAATCTAAGGCGACGGGAGTCAAAACCCATCGATGGATTGTTGGCGCAGCCCAAAATTATACCGTGGATCCCCAGTCCCCTCCCTGTGTCACTGTGCAGTGTACCCATAACGTTAAAAGTCAGGAGATAGGAATATCGGTATCAAATTGCGTCCCACCGTATTCGTTGTAACCCAACGCGAGCATTAATTTATTCCCTAGCTACAGTGTAATGGGCATGAAAATTATAATCTGCACCGTGGATATCGACACTCACTTCCGCATATTGTGCAACTTTGAATCCTCTCTTGGTGACACCCTCCGAAAAGCCGTAACCAGGAAGGCCGAGGGCAACGACATGGAAGCTTGGGTGGTCCGGGGAGGCGGCAGTAAGCAGGGGTAGTATTTTGCGAACCTCGATGAAACTGCCAGGCCCTGCCAGTAAAACCAAACGTCAGTCCAATTTTCGTTAGCCCGTAAGCAAGTCATTCGAGAACTCACAGCCATGCACAAATAGTAGAGGGATTGCACCCGCGACCGTGCTCTTCTGGTGCACATAGTGTATGTTCAACGCGCCGAAGCCATCCACCTCGATGTCCCGCGTGAATTGGGGCAGCTCGTCGTTGAGAGCCTTTTCATGCACACGCCAGTCGTATCCACCCTGCCACCGCGCGAGCAACCTCTTGACATCGGCCAAGGGGACACCGTAGTCCCAGCCTGCATCTTCTATCTCGTCTGGGAGCGTCGTGTTCGCGAGTTTCTCGCGCAGAGACGCGATCTTCTCGTCGGGGATCGCGATATGGAATGCCTGTTCGGTGGTCATGGTTGCGGCGTAGAGAGGGTATGTGACTTGCGCGAGCCCGCATTTTATTTAAATCAATGAGACCTTTCAGGGTCAATGTGTCGTCAGTCAGTCATCCTCGACAGATCGTACCGTGACATACTTACTAAGTATTGACGATAACTTTGGGATCGCGACCTCGGCACACCCGAGGGCGTGACCGAGCCATGAAGAGGGGAGTTGGCAGGGCGCGTCCACAGAACCAGCGCTTCACTCGCACAGGGAGAATTACGATGGCCGTTATGGCTGGATGGAACACAAAATGAACTGGAAGCAATGCTCTTGCACCGTTGAAGGATTGAAGGATGGTGGCTTGATCATCATCCTCGATGATGGTAGCACCTCACTCGACGCGCGAGTTTCTCAGAAGCTCTCAAAGCGAGCCCCTTTCATCGGGCGTTTGGCACAGTGGTAGCGCGCACGCTTCGCATCTTCTCAAGATACAAATTGCGTGAGGTCGAGGGTTCAAGTCCCTCATCGTCCAGTTTTGCCCCTTCCTCATCTTTTTGCTCCAGTTTCATTGCAACGCGAAACCTGCGCATGCGTCCAAATCATTCAACCAAATTGCTCTAGACTTCGTATCAGAAAGAAACGAACGAAATCTATGTCATTTGTACTCGTAGTATGTATGCAAGACACCGCCGTGATACCCATTATTATTCGACATTGCAGTAGAACCATACCTAACCAAGTCCACGATCCGAAATCAATATGCGTCAGAAATATCATACGAAGGGCGTATGCGCCCCTCTGTGTCATAATCCAACACTGCATCCCTTCGCCGAGGTATGGCATGTCCGTCTAGGTATGTGTCTGCGCACTAGCAGTTGAAATTACGACGCGAAGATACCCAGGATTTTGAAAGGTGGGACGCTGACGCCCTCCTCGCCGATGAGCATGCATTCCACGTAATGCGACCCCCGTGCAACGCCGCGGTCGATAATCTCCAATCTGCCTCCCCCGCATTAGTGACCGGCTGAATATAAGAGGGCGAGTACTCACGTAGGCACTATCTCAGCTACATTAGCGGCGTTCTCGATCACCACTGCCCCTGGGTAGTTGTCGTCCACCCAGCACTCCACGGCAGACCCCTCACCGATGCCATGCTCGCCGTCCATCGGTTCCCGGAGGAAGTATACGGCGACGTCGCCAGCCCCAATGACGATCGGCACGCGCAGCCTGCTCGTCGGCTGGTTTGCATGCCAGTACCAGTCGTACACGCGTGCCTCGTCAGGCGAGGTCGACGGGTGCATTGCCTGCCAGCCGGAGCCGTAAAAGAGTGACGGGGGGAGCGGGTTGATGAGGTCGTGCGCAGACGCGCAGTACGGCTGGATCTCCTCGATGGCGAATTCGGACGGACGCGTGTTGATGCGTGAGGGGGGCACAGGAGAGGTGTCGTCGGAATTTAGAGGGTTCTGCGGTAGGCTGCCCGCGGCTTTGTGGTGCACACCGCCGAAAAGTCCAGAGGTTAGGAGTGCGGTTGAAGAGGGTGGAAGGGGGCCTGCCGAGAACGCAGTGCAAATTTGTGATTGGAGGTAGGAGATAAGGACGTCTGCGAGGAGGGCGTGTCCGTCCGCCGTGGCAAGCACGGGGTCAGCGTAGTAATGTGTGGTTGACGCAGGGTCATTTATGTACGCCGGATAGACGAGGGGCTTGGTACTGGTATGATGGTCAGAAGATGACCCGCTGCATTGGAATAACGGTGTACCTTATATGGGGCACGTCGTAAAATTGGGCAACCACCGCGTGCTGTGCCTCAGGTCCTGCAAACCCGTGTGTTGTGTGCATCTGAGGTGCAAAATGACCAAGAATGACGACGGCAGGGTGTTCCGGGCGGATAAGTAGCGCACGAACGAGCTGTTCAAAAGCCTCCAAAGAAGTTTTATCCCTGTCAAACCCTTCCCCTCAGTGACTAGTCACGAAAGTAAATCGTATCCGTAGCACTCACACTCCGTCGTCAGCATCAAATTCGAGTATAACCATATCGACATGGTCGGGGAGATGCTGGGCGCTACAGAAGGCGAAGTAGTCGGCACGGGTACGGCGGAGCGCCCCGTTTGTGACCTCTGACCCAGGATGCGGGAATAGCGCCGTGAACCAGTCGAAGAAGCGCGTTGGGTAGCAGGGCGGGGAGAGCGCTGTCGATGCGGCACCGTGACACGCGGATACTGCAATAGTGGGTCAACCGTCAGCGAATTCGATAGCAACATTAGCTTTGTGCGGTGCAAGTGCGGTGAGTTAAACAGAAGTTCATTCGTATCCAGTATGGAGCAAGCCGGAAAGCTGCGCTCTGGGCTGCCATGCCGCAACTGGGTCCAAGCACTCTGCTGCTTCATTGGCGAGCCCGCATATATTTCATGACATGGCGCGGCGTGACGCCTATCCCTTTGCAAAGCACCGTGGCAGATAAGGCGGGCCTGCTATGGGGGTTTGGCGCCAGAGGGACTCATGCAAGGTGTCTGGCCCAACTTCTTTATCTCTCCGGGGAGCACTGTACATAGAGGTTCTGGCCACGAAGACTTACCTGATCCACCGAGAACACTTATCGTAACAGCTTCTCCAGCGAGAGCTTTCCGAATTACGCGCTGGACACGTTCTCCGCTCCCCAGGTGCAGTCTGCTCTGCAGCAGCGCCCGAGCACCGTACTTGGCTGCCAGCTCGTCGCCCTGCCCAAGCTCAGGGCAGAACGGAAACGGATTCTCTGCCGGCGTCCCGTTTACGGCGGCATAGTAATTCTTGGCGACGAGGGGCCTATGCTGCGACGCAGAGGAATGCGAGGGGAGGACAAGGCGTGTTATGGTGAGGACGGCGACGAGGAGTGCGAGAATGAGCCATATGCGGTGTGTGACGCCGAAGGTGCGCTGCGAAAGACGAGACTGCTTCTCGGAGAGGGGGCGCATGGGACCAGGACCGGTGGGCGTGGGTGGACTGATGTGGGCAAGTCCTTTATTACCTACGCGTCGTTGCATTGACAGGCGTCAGATGCAAGAAATAAGTACAAGGCAGGACACAGCGAGTAACGAGTGTGTTAGAAGAGAAAGTGGCTGCCACACATGCACTCATTTCGCCACAAAGGCACCAGCGCTTACGCCGGATGTCAAACTTTACTTGCATCTCAAGCAAGGCTCAGCGCTAGCGAAGTGATCATACGCTCAATAGATTTATTCAAGGAGTTCAAGCGATCGAGGTTCATGCGGGTCAGTAGTCGCGAAAGGTCCCTCAAGCATCTCTAACAAAACTGTGGTTGCTGGGGTTGCAATAATATTCGCTCGGCGTCGTCCAACAGTCAAGGGTTTTGATTTTGCATTGCATTTGCACAACATAGCATAGATGATGGAGGTGCATGGCTGGCATGATGTATAACAGGTGTGGCGCGGCACGGTAGCACCAAGGTGGAAAAAAGCTACGAGTCCCAGATCCCAGAACGAGAGATTTACTCGGCGTCCACGACTGTGGTTTGGAGACCCTACGCGGTAGGTTAGAAAGATACGATGTGAGAGACATGCGAGAAACGCACCTTGAATGTGATGACAGGGACATGGCTTGCGTAGGTGTATAGCTTCTCCTTCGCGTTCTCCTCGTCATTTCGCTTCCCTGAAAGACACAAATGCAAACTATCAGCACCCTCCCTGGTTGTAGCACAATGACCAGACCAGATCCACGCACGCTCAAGCTTTACACGGATCCGATGGGGGACGGTCTTGATACCCCGCTCCCACACTGCCTGGTTGAGCCTTGGGTCGATCCGTACGTCGGAGGTGCCCATCGTCTTCTGCGCGAACTGGACAATGGACTTTACGGCCCAGGGTGCACGCTTCTTGAACGACCGCCCGTGCACACGCTTGTGCAGATGGATCGTGTACTCGCGCGTGACGACGTCCTGGAGCGCCGAGCGGGTCTTGCCGCCAGTCTGCTCATTCAGCCGGTCAATCAGTATGCAGTCCTCCATGCCGCCAGCAAGCGGTTGACACAGCGATTCGATCGCACCTTTTTGGTGGTGGGAGGGGCCTGCACAGTCCGGTCAGCAAGCAGTCCTATGCAGCAATAATTTTGCCATGGTAATACGCACCATGAGTCTTGAGGAATGTCGAAGTCGGTGGGCAGCGGGCGGTCTTCGTGCTAAGTTTCTGTCCCGATATGCTTAGTCAGCGAACGCCACATTGAGTGGTCCTGTACAGTTCCGTGACGGGCGTGACAGCCACCGTGACAGACGCGGAGGCCAGAATTTCGTGGCGTCGCACTGGACATCGGCGCCGGCTTCCTCAACGACCTCAAGACTCAGGTATGTCCATGCCAAATTATCGCTCGTGGTCTGGGACAGTGCGCTGATTCGGCGGTGAAGCCTCTAATTTCAACCAGGTTCATGTGAGTGTTGTGACTCATATATCGGTCGGGCAGCATGGGCTGGAAGATAGAGTCGAAGATTGCTGGAGGAGAACTGGGAGATTGGGCAGGACATGGATGCGCAAGGTCCGGTTGGATAGGCTCGGCTGCAAGGGATATGTTGATCGGGAGGAGGGATGCTGCCCGGCCGCTCATTCAGCGCATAACTAGTATGTCCCGAGACTAACATACCCTTGTTGATCTTAGTATCCGCAATGGCCCAACGTGTCACCCTCCGCAAGCGCCAGCCGTACAACACGACCTCGAACCGTCGCCGCGTCATCAAGACCCCTGGAGGCAAGCTCGTCTACCACCATATCAAAAAGCTCCCGACTTCCCCCAAGTGCGGTGACTGCGGTATCGCCCTGCCCGGAGTGCGTACCATACCTCTTGTGCTACATCTACCGGCTGCTGATGAAGATGATGCGCTCTTGTAGATCCCCGCGCTGCGCCCCCGCCAATACGCGACGATCTCGAAGCGCCAAAAGACTGTGCGCAGGGCGTACGGTGGCTCGCGATGCGGTGACTGTGTCAAGTCCCGGTGCGTCTTGCTCTCTGATACAGCCGATATCTTTTCCTGACAATCTCGTATAGAATCCTCCGCGCATTCCTCGTTGAGGAGGCGAAGATCGTCAAGCGGGTGATCAAATCGCAGCAGAAGCCCGGGCAGAAGTAGACGATGGTGTCTGCGTTGCCGAGTCTGTCGTTTTGTCTATGGTCACCCCATGCTCTCTCTATCTTCTACACATTACTTGCATGCATGTCGAGCTATTGAACAAAATCCAACAGTCGCCGATGAGGTCGATCTATGTATGTATGCGGACCACCGGGTTTGACTATTGAGCTCGCAGTGTCGGATACGACGACAACAACATCCGATTGGTTCTATGCCGTCTGTTGCATCTTCGCCATACGATTGTCTTCCCAAAACATCCGCCAAACGGTCGTGCAAGCACCGACATGTTTGCGGTCCAGACTCCAGCTAACATCTTGGGTGCTCTTTGTTCAAAATCAAATTCTAGTAGAGCATTTATCGCACGTATGGCCATGAGTGCAGGAGGCATACAAGCAGGACTGTAAAAGGCGTACAATACGAGGAAA